CCCCCCCCCCAATCCTTTCTTTCTTTCTTAGCTAGCAGAGAAGGTGAAAAATTAGAAAGGTGAAAACTATCCCTCTCCTGTTGTCTAAAGAGAGAGTAATGAAGTGATAAATCTCATTGACTCCCAGAAAGTCTAATTTCCTCCCACTCATCAAAGCAAGTGGGAGGGATTTGGCAAGTCTCTGGATGGAGAAAATGTTTCTTGTTTAATTGTCATCAAACAAAGCTGCCCCCACCCCTATGCAGTATGTAAAGTGTCAGCTCTGGGAGGCTCCCAGCCCCGTCTGAGTGAGTGGCTTGCAGAATCTAACAGCTTTGAGTTGCTGAACTGTTTACACACACAACCACAGCATCTGTCCCTACCGATGGCTGGAGTCTGCCCCCAGCCACCACCCTCTTGACCTCCAAACATCCAGCCTTTCCTTTCCTGAAACCAGGGATCCTTCCCTGGTGCCTGCCTCTCCCACACAGGCGCGTGCCTGCAACCAGCTCTGATAAAGGGTACAGCAGTCAGTCTCCCACCCACCATCCCTTCACTTCATTGCCCTACCTGCTTTCCAAGTATATGACTTCAAGGAAACCACGCATTCCAGAAGCGGATCACCAGTGTGTCCCAGAATCCAGGGCACTGTTATCTTACACGCGCAGGTTTGGTTTTCCTGCCAGTTTGGCATGGCGCTTTCAGAGAAGCTAGGGCAGCAGCTTCTTAAGCTAGGACGCTGGGTTTTTATCTCTTGCACTCAGGGTAGGCTGATGGCACTGCTGGGCCTCATGGTGGGTTACCATCCATTAGACACGAGGCCTCCAGAGGTAATGCAAGGTCACCATGTGTCTGGCATGGAGGAAGTGAAGGCTAGGTGTGCCAGCATCAAGCATGGTGAAAAATTGGCAATGCCGAGTCCCTTCCAAGGGTAGGTATGTTATTTATTTCTCTTAAATCAAATAAGGTTGTTAAATGGCTAGGACATTCTGGGGAACTGAGGCAGTGTGTAGGCCCTCCTTCTTGCAGTCGGGTCAGAAAGATTTGAGGCATGTTTCTCAGAGAAACAGGCAATGAGTTTGGTAGGAGGGATGAGAAAGAGTGAAAGAAGACACTCAAGGTGTCTCTCCTGCCTTCTAGTTTTAGTGGGGTTCTCAGAGAAGCTTCCAGAGAGTCCAGCCCAGGTCTACCTCTTGACTTTTGATGACAGCAGGATGACATCAGACTTTCAAGTTCCTACTGACATGACAACTCTAGGTCTCTTTGGCCCATACTGACTGGTTCTAATTGAATTCTTAACCATAAATTCTTAGATTTTATGGTTAGGTAGAATTATCCTTATCTCCTTGAGTTCCGGGATCTGGTCTGTGGAAAGGGTCACAAAAGTCTATCCTTTAGGACATCTTGTGTTCTCTTAATGACATTATTTCAGGCCTAAATTTCACCTTTATTTCTCCTCAGTTTGCTGAGGAATGTGACATATTCTAGCTACTTAAGGCAGGCAGGAGTGTAGGCAAATTGCTTCTTGGAAAAGGAAGCATGTGCTGTCACACAGTGGGCCTGTTTTATAGACGTATTCCCTTAACTTCTTGCTCCTCTCCACTCAGGTCTGTGTGTTCCATATCAAGGAGACTTCTACAAAGATTTTCCTCTTAAAGGTTGGCTTGGTTAGTTGGCTCTCCCTAGAATAAAATACAGGTTAGCTTCTGTCATGTAGTAAAGCACCCCAAAGCACAGTGATTTAAAATAGCAAGGGAGGTTGGGTGCGGTGGCACATGCCTGCAGACGTAGCAACTTGGGAGGCAGAGGCAAGAGGATCTTAAATTCAAAAGCTTCAGCAACTTAGACCCTGTCTCAAAAAGGAATGGGGATGTGGCTCAGTAGTAAAGCTCCCCTGGGTTAAATCTCTAGTATAAAAAAATAAAAATGGTGGTTGGCTGGGATCTTGTTCATATGGGTGAGTCTCCACCGATCTCACCAAGACTCACACATAGTGGTTGTCTGGCTGGTGGGTGGGTCCAAGATGGCATCTCCCACATGTTTGCTGATGCTCTGGGCCTTTTGTCTCTGGCATCACCCGATGAACTAGCCTGGGCTTGTCCTCATGGCAGGAGCAAGGTCCCTGAGAGCAGGCAGATGTAGCAAGGTCCCCTGAGGCCTGGGTTCAGAACTCCCATCATCTCATCTGCCAGATTCATTTTGTCAGAGCAAGTTCTAAGACCAGCCAGGATTCTAGAGGTGGAGAAATGGTCTTTATGCAAGAAGCTGTCCAGTAACGTAAAGTGGCCTTCTCGGGGAGATCGTAATTGAGACCATTTTTGTAAACAGTGTACTTCAAATAATAATAACTATTACCCAAACTATTATCCATTATCCTGTCGAGTTCCTAAAATGCTATGGTGGAGTGAGCTGCCCTATGCGTGTGGTGCAGTAAATCAAGCAAAGATGTGAATTCACCAGCAGGGGTGGGCAAGGAGTCTTGGAACTGAAGCTTTCTACATGCTACATGTATTTTCATCTGCCCCCTTTTCTACATCTAAGAACTAAGCTTTTTTCTCTTTTTTCTCTTTGTTTTTTTTCTTTTTATTCTCTTTGAACATTTTGAAAGCCAAAGTTGTGGAAAATGAGATGACTGCTCTCTTAGACTCTATTATGTTGGCCTAATTACATATCAGCAAAATGTTTTTCTGGGGCATTGTGTGTAAGACAAAGAGGAAAACAACATCTCCAGCCGGCCAGTACCGCCTGTCCCTCCCCCTGGCTGGCAGGCACAGTGGTGGCCCGGAGGAGGACGAGAGTGAGGCGGGCAGGTCTGCCGGGTGGCTGGCTCCAGAGGGGTGTGCGCTTTATCCAGAGAGGATGGAGGGGCAAGCCATCACTTCTTTCCTTCCCTCCCCCATGCCTGCATGAGCTTCTGTCTGGTGGGGAGCCATGTGGCCGTTCTCCCCATCCCCTGGCCTGGCTTCTCCTGGGACAGAAAAGCTCACACATCTTTGCATCCAAGTGCCCAGCCCAGAGCCAGGTTCACTGAATGTTGAGACTGATGAATGAATTGTGGTGCCAGGCATACTCTTACTCTTTAGGGTGCTGAGGGATGGACATGCTGAGTTTTCTGCAAGCCCCCCAACTTTGTAACATCCACTTTGCATTTGATCATAGAAGTAAAATGTTCTCTTTCAGCTTGGCATTCTCCTCCTGCCTTACCTGTGAGTCTCCACTTTCCTTGTGGACCTTCACCTGCCTATGCACCACTGTGGCTCATGTCATCTTCGGCTCATGCCCCTCACCAGGAAACCTGGTCCTTAGCTTCATCCTGTGCTGGCCAATGCCTCCAAGTTCTTATCTCCACTCTAAGCATTGCCTGACATTGGGCTGTGGATTAGTTTCTTTTTGCTGCTATATCCAATTACTACAAGTTTAGTGGCTTGAAACAACAAAAGTTCGTTATCCAGAGATCAGAAGTCTGAAATGGGTACAAGGGGATAAAGTCGAAATGTTGCCAGGACCACATTGTTTTTTGAGATTCAAGGATCAAGGAGTCCTTCCTAGCTTCTAGAACCTGCCCATGTTCCTTGTCTTGTGGCCCCTTCCTGGTATCACTCTGGCCTCTGCTTCTCTCATCACATCTCTGATTCTGACTCTCCTGCCTTTGTTACTACACTGGCTCCACCCAAAGTAATCCAGGATAAACTGTCCATGTCAAGATTCTGAAGTTAATCACATTTGCCAAATCTTTTTTATTATGTCTTTATTAGTGCTATAGTTATACAGAACAGTAGGGTTTGTTATAAATGCACATAACATAATTTGATCCATCTCATTCCCCAATATTTTCCCTTTTCCTTTCCCTCCTCCCTCTCCTAATCCTCTTCCTCTACTCCACTAGTCTATTATTTTTTAATTAGTATGTTGTTATTATTCATAAAAGTGGGATTCATACATGTCCATAATTTGGTTAATTTCATTCTGCAGTCCCTCTCTTGTCCTCCCCCTTATCCCCTTCCTCTACTGTTTTCTCTTCTATTTTCATGAGATCCACCTTTCCTTAGTCTTTATATCTCTATAGCTTCCACCTAGGAGGAGAAAACAGTCAATCCTTCACTTTCTGTGCCTGGTTGATTTCACTTAGAATGATGTTCTTTAGTTCCACCCATTTACCAGGAAATGACATAATTTCACTCCCCTTTATGGCTGAGTAGAACACCATTGTGGATATATACCACATTTTCTTTATCCATTCACCTGCTGACATATACCTGGGCTGGTTCCTTAACTTGGCTATTCTGAATTATGCTGCACTAAGCATTGGGATGCAGGTATCACTGTTGTATGCCAATCTCAGCTCTTACTAAAGCATGAGATAGTTGGCTCATATGGTAGTTCTACTCCTAGTCCTGAGAAATCTCTATATTGATTTCCACATGTTTGTACTAATTTGCAGTCCCACTCAAAATGTTTCCAAATCTTGTTTTTACCATGTAAGGGAACACATTCACAGGCTCTGGAGATTAGGGTGTAGTCATCTTTGGAGGCTGTTATTCTGTCTACCTTCATGCAGTTTCATTTTCTGCAAGACATCTTTACAGGTTCCTCAACTTTAGTGTGTTTGGAAGGGAATTCTTTCCTCTCATTGTCCCCCCTTGTCCTGTATGCTCTGGGTCAACACATGAGCAGCCACTAATTCCCAGTTCCTCCAGCCTCTGTATGAAAACATACCAAGTTAACAAGCCTAACACTGATGGGCACTTGGGTTTTTTTTCCAGTATCTTGCTATTACAGTTTTCCAGTGAACATCTTTGTACATTTTCATATAATATATATACACACACACACAAAAAAAATAAATTCCCAGAAATGAGATTGTTAGGTCTAAGGTTAAATGTATTTATAATTTTGAGAGAAACTGTCAAATTGTCCTCCCCAAGGGTTGACTTAGTTTGCCCTCTCATCAGCAATGTGATAAAATGGTTGCTTCCCGACAGTCTTGTCAACAAAGTCCGTTGTCAAACTTGAAGGGTTTTTTTTTGTTTTTGTTTTTTTTAAAAACAACCAGTTTGATAGGTAAGAAAACAGTATCTCAGGGTAGTTTAATATGCATTTCTTTTAGAGTCTGCTTTTTTCTTCACGTGCTTAATGACCATTTGATTTTCCTTTTCTTTGATCTTCAAATCCTTGTCCAATTGAAAAACTTGAGATTACTGGACTTTTTGCCTATCAATTTCTAGAGGCGCTTTTTTAGCTATAATATGACTACAAATATCTTCCCATTTCTTCATTCGTCTTTTGAACTTGTGAATGTTGTCTTTTGTCACGCAGATGGATTTTTATGTAATCAAATTATTATTTTTTTGACTTCTAGAGTTTAAGTTATTAGGAAAGGGCAAACTGTATTTGAAAGCATGAACTTTCTCACTGGACCAATATGTGACTTCCTCATTCTTTTGCTGGCACAGAGGATCTTTAAAAATTATCAAAAGACAAATGCATTTCTTACTAAACTCTATATTGTTACATTTTTACAGGGTTAAGGGAAGGCTGTGTTGGATGTCTGTTTCCTTAGCTGATTTGCAACCACTGGAGAAATTACAGGGAACAAAGGGGGAAAAGAGCCATAAATACAAATGAATTCCTTTTATACAAGTTGAAAAACCACAGGACATGCTCCACTTTTTTTTTTTTTTAACACTCCAGGTGTGATGGGAGATTACGTATCCACCACAAGAGAGTGGAGAGTTAATTAAAATTTTTGCTCTGACTCACAGAAAGAAATGTCTTTTCGTTTGATAAGCAGGCTGGCTTTGGAGTGCCGGTTGCTGCTTTCTTCTTCTCCTCACTAGAGTGTCACAAAAAAGCAGATCAAAGTGAGCCTTCCATCCAGATCCGTTTCCTACCACCTTTCTTAGCTAATGGACTTAAAAGTGTCTTCTGCACGGGGCTCATCTCGTGTTTTAGAAATACTGTCGTCTTGCTGCATTGATAATATGCAAACTGCCTTTGATAGATGCTTATGGAAAGCCACATTGAACATTAATTACATGGAGACGGCCCAAATATTTGGAGTGGGAGAGCCTGGCAGAGTCGTACCTCACCTCTACCATTTTTTTTAATTTCACTCATCAACTCACCACGTGATTGATGACCAGGAATTAACACTTGGGATTGAACCCTCCCAAGGACCAGTAATGTTTTGCTGTGTTTTCCCTTGTCCTTTTGGTCTTTATGATTCTGCACCCTCTGGCTGACATCTCCCACCCTGAGAGGGGAAAAAAACTGTTTGGGCGAAATCCTGCTGTTTTTCTCTTTAAGATAGTGACAAAATGAAATAAAATGGAAGCAAAATAGAAGCCACCCTGGTGAGGCCCGTCTGAACAGGCGGGTCAGGCTGCGGCAGGGGTCGTTCATTGTCTTGCAGCTCTGGGCTCACGCAGAGAAAACCGGGCCAGGGTACAGCCACCAATAAAAGGACTCCATTCTGCCACTCAGGGCTTTGTGAGGCGCCAAAGCTTGTCCTGGTTGCTATGGCTACTGTCTGATTGTGGTGGGTTTGTCACAGTGCTTGATAAAGTGGGAAGGTTATTCTTGATAGGCCCAAGTAATCATAACCTCGCAAAGCTGGAGAATGTGGATTTAAATTTTTTTTCCTCCTTTCTCTCTTTAGACCGGGAACACAGGCATGGGGGCAGGGGAATCTCTGGATACAATAGCCACAGGGTTCTTCCTCCAGCCTGGCAGAAGGGGTACTGGCCAAGGGTGCTGGGCTGGAAGGGAGGCACCTGTGTGCCCAGGGGGACTGCAGAAAGGAGCCTGCTGGCCAAGTGTTGAGCCATCTCTGGTGACTGGGGCTTGGGGAGGGGCCACAATGGCATTCTCTGCTGCACCCTTCCATAAACTGATGACATTGTTCTCTTTCTTCCTTCTCTCTTCCCTGAATCCCCTTCCAGCTCAACACTCTGCCCTCATCATCATTTCTCAGACAGTTGATCCTTTAAAAGTCCATCTATTTTTTTCTTCTTTATATGGAGAATAATGGGAAAGCTTAGATTGGGAGTGACAGCTGATAGATTCTGGCTGCAGAATTAGACTCTCTCCCCCAGAAGGGACCTAAGAGATATCCAGGCAGTGATTTCATGCATATCTGTATAAGAACTATTGAGAGGAGCTCTTTAAAACACTGATTCCAGGGGCCCATTCCCAGAGTTTCTGATTAGTGGGTTTCAGCTGGGCCCCAAGAATCTATTTCTCAAAAGTTCCAGGTAAGGCCCCTATGTTGCCTGCTCCAGGACCAAGCTTTGAGAATCACTGCTCAGGCCCATACTTCCTGCATACATTTGAGAAAATTTGAGTTTCCCAAAGGATACATTAGTTGCGAAGGGCTCAGGTGACTTGTGGAGGCACAGTGGGATTGGTGTCCAGTTACAGAAAGTTTAAAAGCTGTCTGAAGAGGCGGGCAGATTGTTCTCATCTCCCTCCCTCCCTTCTGGCTCCCAAGTGCAGGGCAGCCAGATGAGCTGATTGTGTTCCCAAAGCCGCCAGCAGGCAGTCTCACCAGGGCTGCTTCCCTTGCCAGCATAGCACTCCAGGCTACTACACACTGATGCCTCCACATGAAGCCTACCCTGCTTGGAGCCCCAGGCCCAGCTTCATCTTGTAATTTGTGCAGGTTCCTGAAAGCCGGCTTTGATGGTGGCCTGGATCTTTCTTTTTTCTGACATTTGAAGCCTGTGGCCCTGGCAGCAGACCAGTCTGTACTTTGGTGACCGCACTTTGAACTCTGGAGTAGGGCTGTGCTGTTCTTCACCTGTGCATCCCACTGCAGTTCCCAAATACTCGAGGAATGAGTCGTGTGCACCCACGGGACACAGGGAATCTGGATGCATGTTTGATATTTTCTGAGGCCAGTGACAAGCTAAGAAAACAGGAGTCCAGGGTGTTCACAGCCTAGCTGGTGTGGTGAACCTTCATGGAGTAACCCAGCGCAGTGGCCTCACCTTAGGGTTATCTTCTTGTGTGAGCAGGGCTGCGTTTTCAGATTGAAAGATAAGTATTAGTCCCCTGGATCCTAATTTGAAATAAAGCACTGACAGCATTCATCTCTGGATGGCAGGGTGGATAGTACAGGTGAAACTGCTTCTGTGTGTGCATGCGGGGTGTGCGTGCACGGGGGTGTGTGCGTGCACGTGTGCATGCATGTATGTGTGCCAGGCTGAGACTGGATGCAAATGACTCGATCATTTGTCAAATGTAATTTAACTCCCCATGACACTCTGAAATCATCCAGAGCAGTGTGTGTTATCATAGACCCTGAATGTGCCTTTGAGGCGAGGTAATTGTGTTTCTTCAATGAAACTCACAGGAGGCTATTTGTCCAGACAAGAATAAAACAAAATTAATGGATTAATCTTTTGGCTGTAATTCCTTGCCAACTACACAGACTGTGTCAGGGCCTGGAAAGAAATCCCATGATGGCAGTTTGGCTCTAAAATCTAACTCTTGGGCACACAACAGAGCACCTCTTCTTGGCTTTGTTGGGCTGGTAGGTGGAACAGTGGCCTCCTGTGGCTTGGAGGTGGTTTGAGGCAGCAGGGGTGCTAATGGTGGCATTTTTTTGCCCAGGGCGTGGAGATTCAGACTGACTACGTGCCCCTGCTGAACTCACTGGCAGCCTATGGCTGGCAGCTCACCTGTGTGCTACCGACTCCCGTTGTCAAGACTACCAGGTAACAATGACTGGTTGTTATTGAAGTTACTCCTCCGTGCTAGGCACTGTTCTAACAAGCACTCCATGTGGAGGACTGACTTAATCCTGCGACAAGCCTGTGAAGCTGGTGTGTTGACCTTCCAACTGGGAGGCGCAGAGCCAGAATTTCACTTTCTCTACTCTCACACACACCTCCTCTTTACCCCTTCTGCTCAGGGAATCTGTCCTGCCCAGGGGACCTAAGATTAGCCACCTGGGCCAAATGTGGTGAGAAGATGTTTGCAAGTTTAGAGATTTTAAAAGGTAACCAGAAGGGTGGAGGCAAGAGAAAACGATGCTCCCCTATACACTGTTTCTGTCATTGTTAGCTCAGAGTCACAGGCATGAGCCACCCTCACCACTTCTGTTTGTGTGGGTCAGAGGTGATTGGCAGCTGCCATGGTGCTACCCACCTGGCACTGCATGTCTGTAGGAGCTGAGCTATGAACGAGCTCACATTGGTCATACTTCTGCCAGCTGTCCTCATGGCTGAGGACTGAGCTCTTCACCCAGGTCCTTATTTACACCCCCATCCCTGCCATAATTACCAAAGGTAGCCTTGGGAGAGACCCCACCTCTGAGTCTGAGTCTCACCAGTGTGTCCCCATTTGACTAAGATGCCAGCTACTTTACATCAAGGGAAGGGAGTTTTCACCTAGGGAGCCTGCTTTGCAGGGATACCCAGAATGCTTCTGCAGTTCATCTGAGATGGCCCCCAGACTGGGGGTGGGTGAGTGGAGTGGGGCCATTTCTTTCACCATCTGGTGGTGCTTTCCCTGCAGTGGGCTCTCCAGCCATTACAGGAGGGCCTGGCTGACACAGGCTCAGGCACGCAATGCAGGCATATAGCAAGATGGTGCCCACTGTCATGAAGTTGGGGACTGTAGCACCCAGGCTAGATTTGGGGTTCCTCCGGTGTAACATGACTCAGTCTCAGCTCACTGTGTTGTAGGGAAGGGAGCATCTCCACCAAGCAGATTGTCTTTCTTCAGAGACCATGTCTACCTCAGAAAATCAAGAAGAAGGAATCAAAGGTAAGAAACTTCTGGGTTTCAACAGCTCTTCATCTTCTAGTGCATTTCCCACAGCAGCTGGATGGGCAGCCTGCTCCAACTTTCAAGTGCTTTCGGAGCCCAGGGAACACCTGAGCTCCTTGACGGACTGAATCACACCTGAGGCTACTGAGGGGACTGGAGGGCTATTCTACCAACCTCCTGAGGGCCAGGCTGGATGGGGGGACAGAGGCTTTTCTGGACCCCCACAGATACCAGATAGTCCCACAATGCCAAAATCGGGGGTAACACATCAGCTGTAGTCTGACTGGGGTGGGGATAGCTTGAGCTCAAGATGTGGCTGGCTTCTGTGTCTCTTAATCCCACTACAATCCCACTGATTGGCGCTCTGGCTTGCACGTTTGATCATAGATGTTTGCTGATCTTGGCAAAGAGACTCTGCCAGAGTCCCTTCTTGACAGGCTCTGACCTGTCAAGGATGGATGGCCACAGTAACAGCTGGTGATACAAATGGAGGCGAGTCATAGCATGTGGCAGCAAGTCCTCAGACCAGGCTGTGGTCAGGGATTCCCAGGGTCTTTTCCCTCTTGCTAGACTTCTCATGAACTGTTCTGGGTACAGCTGCACTAAGAGACTGTGGCCATTCTCAGAATCTGCTGTTTCCTAAAGCTAAGTTCAAGTCCTCCCCTTGGGCCGGGTGACTCTAAGGCTTCACACCCCCATGCTTTGCAGCCTTTACCTGTGTGTTAAATACCCATCAGTGGCTCACGTGTGGAAGGCTTGGTTCCAGCTGATGGAGCTACTGGGAGGAAGTCTAGGGGGAGGAAATTAGGTCATTGAGCATGCCCTTGATGGGGCTACAGGGACCTGGCCCCTTCCTGTCTGTTTTCTGGACACCAGAAAGTGAGCAGCTCCTTTGCCATCCTCTACCTGATGCTGCCCCAAAACACTGGTGTCAGCCAACCACAACCTCCTTTGAAACCGTGAGCCAAAATAAATCTTTCCCTCCTTTTAAGTTGATTTTTCTCAGGTATTTTGTGAAAGCTAATGTGATATATTGTGGGTGTATCACCAGTTGTTCAGTATGAGTCCAGGCACTTGAGGGAATCCACCAAAGCTCCAGTTAGGTGTCACCTGGATCTGCTTTACTCCATTCTGATGGTGAAGGTCATACTCTGGACAGAACTTGCCTGACCTGGTCAGCTCTGCACAGTTGTACCATCTCTAGGTTCCCCACTCTTGGTTGGTTCCTTGTGTTTTCTGGACACAGAGGCCCAGGCAGGAGCATCCAGCCAGTGAACAGATTGGAGTAGCCCCTCACCAGCCAACAAATCCAGGGGGTGCCCACTCACGGAAGGAATGCCAAGGCGATGGGGACGCAAAGCCAGATGGGCTGGAGTGCAGAGGAAGGGCTCTCTCCAGGCTCTGGGATGGTAATGTGACAGGTGACAGCAGCAGTGGACCAGCAGGCAGTCGCTGATCCACTATTAACCACCAGGAGCAGTCAGCTACCGGCTGGAAGATAGATGGCCACAGACCGCTGTCAGTACTGCTCTGCCACAGGCTCACGGGATGACATCACTCAGAGAAAGTGACATTCAACAAGCAGTGCATAAGAGTTCTCCTGCCAAACGCTGAAAGGAATCTGGCTTCAGCCCTTAAGGAGACAGTGCTGTCTTTCCTTCCAGGTGTCTGCCTGTGGTGCAATTTGACTTCAGTAGGAAGGCCCTGGCCTGGCAGGGGCAAGTCAGTGGCCAATTTGAGCCAGGCTGGGTGTGGTAGTGTGCACCTGTGATCCCAGTGACTCAGGAAGCTAAGGCAGGAGAATGAAAGTTTGAGGCCAGCCTCAGTAACTTAGACCCTGTCTCAAAAAAAGGCTGAGGATGTAGCTCAGTAACAGAGCAACACAGCATTCAATCCCCAAGAAGGCAGAACTGCCTTTCTTTGGGGGAAAAACTGGAGAAGATGGGAGGACCCCCCCCCACACACCACCAATTTAGTAATAACTTCCAGACCGAATCGGCTCTATAATAAATGCAGGTAGACTGCTTTCTCTTTTAATGTGCCTGCATCATTTCAAGATTGGAGGTGCATGGTGTCAAGTACTTGTGCTCTTGTGAGACCTCCAAGTCACCTCACTGGTATAGTCCCAGGAAGAGGGGAATTTGCCACTAAACATCTTTATGCATCTTCCGAACTCGATGTATCTCTTTGTCTCCATCATTGTTGCCTCAGCCCCCTCAGTCTGTGTCCCCTGGTAATTCCATCTAGTCCTCATGATGGAACCCACAGCTCTTGACAGTGTGTGTCACACCGTTTTCTCTTGGATCTGTCCCACCGTGTTCTGATACTCCAAGTTCCTTGGGATTCTCTCCTCTCTCAAGAGTTTTCTCAGAAAATCTTCTGTCCCAGGGCTTCACTCAGGACCTCAATGCTGTTACATCTGCGTTTTCAGCCCTTGCTTTGCATGGGACTGCAGTGCCTTCCCTCCTCTCACTTGCTCCATCCAAGAGCATGCACAGGACTTTGCCCCTCCCTACCTGGCCCACCCGGCCCCTTCTAGAGGAACAACACTTGCCCACCTGGGGGTCCTCCCTGACTTGACCTCTCCTTCCCACTGTATTTAGCTTACCCTTAAGACCTGTCAACTTTAGGCCCTAGAAACTTTTTTTCCCCCATACCAACCATACTAGTGATCTAAAGCAATCCATGGAGGGAGGGGATATTCTTTTTATTTATTTTAATTAGGTATATATGGCAGCAAAATGCATTTTGATTCAATGTACACAACTGCAGCACAACTTTACATTTCTTTGGTTGCACACCGTGTATCGTCGCACCATAGGTGATGTCCATCTCATTCCACCATGTTTCCTCCCCTCATGCCCTCTTCCGACACCTCCCTCCTTTTTGTCCTATCAAAGTTCCTCCATTTCCCCCCATGCCCCTCCATTATGGATCAGCATCCACTTATCAGAACATTCAGCCTTTGGTTTTTTGGGATTGGCTTACTTCACTTAATGTGATATTCTCCATTGACCTGCAAATGCCATAATTCATTCTCTTTTAATGCTGAGTAATATTCCATTGTGTATATACACCAGTTTCTTTATCCATCCATCTGTTGAAGGGTGTGTACGTTGGTTCCACAGTTTAGCTATTGTGAATTGAGCTAATAAAACTCTTGAAGCCATCCATGGCCCTATGTGATCTGGCCCCCTCTTACTTCTGCCAGCCCCTTACTCTGCATCCCAGCGCCCATGCTCT